TGCAGAAGTTAATAAAATCCCGGCAGCCGCGTCGGGGTGCGCAGTAACCACCCCCTCTGTCTCCGCTGATCCTTTCCTCCGCCCCCTTGGGGGTTAGTTTATTTAGCACAGGCGTAGTCACCCTCTCTCGTCACTCTCTATCCTTCCTTTTTGTCGATCTATCTATCTATGCGGTTAGTAAGTACATTTTAATCATCCTCCCTGCATCGTCACTATACCAATAATCAAAATTGGAATTGCATGACACTCTTTGCTGTTGTGGATTATGTTCATGGAATCATGATCATGGATCATGCGGTGATTATTAATAATTTTCATTTTCAAGACGATTGAAGTCGAATCTCATATTGAGTAACTTATCATAAAAAGCATCATATTTACATATTATTTACTCTTAAGCATTTTTGGGATATGATAAATGCTCAATGTGACACTTACAGCTCACGCGAGTTTGGTAATCTTCATTGTTTTTTGTTCGTTACTCTTTCATCTGTACACAGTGTATACGAATCTGCTTTAGGACATATATTCACGCAGACGAGTCAGTGTTCGTGCACAATCACAGAGACACGCGGGGGTAGTCTTTACCCCGTTTATTCCATAAAAGTCAGCGGTTCTTCGGTCTCGGTTTATCCGGTGCGCGGCGTGCCACCCGACAAAGCCTGGTGGCGCCTCAGGGGCCAATAACGCGACGCCCCTGATATACAACACGAAAGAGCGTCCACCCCCCGACCACCGACCTCTTCGTGGCTGCTCGACCGCGTTGTTATCGCTTGAAAAGGATCCGGGCGTTAACAAAAAAAAAAAAAAAGGAAGAAGGAGAAAGGATAGTTTTGGAAAAGGATACCCTTGTTTCGCGACACTGACTCTTCTCACCTCTCGTTCGATTTTTCTTCGACTCGATGAAAGAAAGACTTTTCTATGTATTGAATACTATTTTCTATTAGTTTGTTACTTCAGTGAAAATACAACGTTTACTCGAGGAATTTGCTTAGCGAGCAAGAAGTTTGCGATTTATAAGCGTCGCGGAGAGAGTTTATCATTGGACAGATAAAGCGGATAGAGCGACGGAGAGAGCGGCACGATAATTGTAAGATTAAACGTTCGAAACCGTTGATTATATTCCCCGCGCGCGCACCCCTGCGGCTTCAATTCGATTCGAGCCACGTCGATTGCTTAAACATGCAGTTCTTCGCCTCGTTTGTTTCATAAAATTCAATGGTTCTGCAGCTCGTTCGACGGTAACAATACGCGCGTGCCCCCGGGGGATAATAACCGCGTCTTTGATACCGTGACTTCCCTTACAAAATCCACGCTAAACTCGTTCCCCCTTTTTCGTTAAAAAGAAAGGACGCGGGCCAATTTGAGGCTCGCATTATCTTGTTGTCTTTACACGCTCCAATAAGCCCGGGCTGCGACGCGATGCATAGGTAAACGATTTCCTCCATCCCCAGTTTTTCACGTTGAAAGAACCGATTTCCTGATGCTTTTCAACATTGATTTAATATTCTCCATTACTGCCCGTTGCTTCGTTACCTTCATTGTCATTAGCATCGATATCATTTTCCTATTACGCAGTACTAAAGCGTTTGATAACAATCTTCGTTGGTACGTTTGTTAAATTGGTTTATTATCATTATCCTAATTGGAGTATTTAATCAATTGTGTATCATGTTATTAACGATATTGTTCTTTCCTCCTTTGACACGCATTGTATTGTTTCTACGACGAATAGAATATTTTTCAATAACTTTCAATTGTAACACCGCGAGCCGTTGTCGAATCTGTCCGCAAGAAATCATTTTCCCCGTGGACGTCGATTATCAATGCAATAAAGTCGGAAAAAGCGAAAAAATAAAATGAAAAAAAACAAGGAAATGAACGAACGAATCTCTTTTATATTCAGCCGAATTAAACTGGCGGAACGATTTCGCCCCCATCATTCGCCACGCTAATGAAATACAACGCTACCGCAGCGTGAAACGCTACAGAAGAGACTCCGTGATTTGTGTGTGTGTATAGTATATGTGCTTTTTTTATCCGTCGGTCTGTCGGCGATCAAGTTATCATATCTCATCGTCGTAGTCCAGTAAATAGACGGAATTGCGAACCGTACTTTTGACACTCGAAGACTCGCGCGCCTGTTATAGGCGTCGGGGTAGTTCTTGCCAAGGGGATGACGTTTGATCTTCAAGCTGGTTCGCCGGGTCTATTGTGAATTGTATCTGCTTCCTTTACGCCCGATTCCACCCCCTCTTCTTGACTCTCCCCCGCTTTCTCCTCTGACGCGTAGTACTGTCGCGCGCGCGGCAGAGAATCTCCTCTCTTTTGCAGATTTAATGTTGCCTATTGTAGAGCGTTGCCTCGCATGCCTTTCTCCTCTTCTCTCTGTCCCTTTCCTTCCCCTCGCGCTGCTTGCCTCCTTCTTTATTCGTCCCTTACCCAGCCCCTGCTTGGATCCATGATATAACAATTACACCCACGAGTTATCAGCTCTCTCCCCCCTCGTCGATCATCGCATCAAAGGTACACGTTTCCGCTTTTTTATCGGCCAGTTCGCGATGAACGAAACCGATCACGTCGCTGCGAATGTGCTTGTGAAATTGTATGTACCATTGGTATCCAGCAACGAGGACTAATTTTTTAGTTATAAAGCAATCGATTGATTAGATATTAATCGATCAAAGTTGTTGCAGAATTCAGTAGATAGTTTTTAGTCGTACCAGAATGAAATGGAACTCCAGAATTGAAAATAAAATAACATAGGAAAGTCGGTTAAATACTTCAATGAAATCTTTTCTTTAAAACTGGCGTTGCACGCAGAGTTTATTTAAGAAGGAGAGAGTCCTGCTTTGTCTCGAAGTGGTAGGATTAAGAAGGTTTGAGGTATATTTCGGTAGGATTCAAACTAACTAAGAATATCCGATTTTCACGAGCGCATAGTATTTGAAAAGCGTTAATTAGTTGGAAATTATCTGATGGTTGCTTACCTGAGAAGATCAATGGAGAGGTTCCGTGAGTCATTTAAGATTATTTATTGAAAGATTGTCTACTTTATTGTATTAAGATTGTAGAGTTGTCTACTACTTTATTATTTACGATCTCGTACCCTGTGCGCAAAAAGAGCAAACATACAAGTAATAAAAGTAGAACTCAGTCATTATAAATATGGTCAATGCAAATCTGAGCAGGTAAAATGATTTTCTTAATGGCTGAAGATCCTCTGAATACTCTTGCTAACGTCGATACTATCAATGGTTAATTTCGTGATTTCCAATTATTTCTATAACCGTCTTGGTGTCTTTGAATCTTTAGTGCTTACAGCGAGGGATTAACTGAGTTTAATAATAAATAATGTAATAGGCTAGGGATTATCCTGGTCCCTTTGGATGTGAAACGATAACTTTGACATCATAGGTCTATCGTTATCGGTCTATCTAGATCGCCATGTGAAATTATCTTTAGCTTTTAATATTACCACGCCGTAATGTATCTACTTATTAAAACCATACTTGATCAAAGTACACATTTACACTTCATTTTGCCTTTCATCGTTATAAACACAATTAAATTAATTCGTGAATAATTTTCGTTCAACGTTGAAAATTATCATTTTTTAATAGACTTTTACACGCTGTGCAAGATCAATTTCCTATTTTTTTTTTTTTTTTTTAAATAGCGCTCCATTTCTCCCTGCAGCGAGTAATCTGTTTTCGTATCTGTATGTAAAATCGTGGCGTCGTTTCTCGTCGACAAAGCGTTTTGTTTTCAAAATCATTCGCGTAGGAGTATATATATATTTTTTTTCACGATACGGTGCCGGGATATTTCCAAAAATGTGGTTTGCAGCGTCACGAAACGGAGTGGAGCAGTGACCCAGGGCTTGTTCCCTTTCCACGATTCCCCTCCGCGGGCAACGGTTTATTTGCATTATAAAGCCCACTATACAAAAGGGCTGGCACGAGGTGACATACTGTACACCCACACCTTTACGTGATTGACGGAAGATACTCCGTTTGGTTAAATAAATCCCGGAAATTTAATATTCATTCCGATGAATCGCGCACACTGTGCATTCTCTAACGAACCGAATTTTCCGCGAATGCACGAGATCCAAGCATTTATCCAGGCTTGCATTTCGTAAAATTATAAGTGAACAAGACAAACAGTAAATGAAGAGAAAGAATTTTTGTTATTCTTAGACACACGCTCTCTGCCATAGTTAACACGTATTCGCAACGAAGAATTTTATAAAATAAAATAAATTTGGATGGACAAGTATTTGAATTACTTGTTACTTACAAGATAATTTTATTAACAGTTTCTCTTGTGACAATAGCTGCATCGTATAATTAAAGACTAAATGTGCCATATGGTTGTAACAGCCGGAGTAAATTAGAACAATAATATTCTTAGGAATACCTGAAAGTTCTGCCGGATAAGCACCATTTAGGTCATTGTGGACAAGATTTATGAAGAGGGAAAGGGATAAAACTTAATGGAAGACACGGTCAGTTCAGTACCTTCCGTCCCCTTGTCTGTTTAGAACAGAACAACGTCTTTGAGGATTAGACTACTGATTCCTTCCTAAATGCGTGTACGAAGGTGTTGTCTTAGAATAAGTAGGATAATCGTAAGCAAATTTTTCAGCGGTCCTCTTAAATGGGCCATATAACGCCCCGGTTTCTCATAATTATGTTCAAAGCGGTAGGCTTTCAATATTTCCTGGTCTTACCTGAGGCTTTCGTTAAGCTCATTTCAGCTATTAGAAGGATAGTCTTAGGGTAAACAGGTTACGGTATTTTATAATTGAACGTATGTTTATAATACCACGTTACTTGATTCTAAGTTGATAGAAAGTTTAAGCTGTTCATCATATTATGTTACAAGAAAAACATTTAAATATTATTTTATAAAAAATATAAAGTTGTAATGAGAACAGACGATCTTTAATGTTTTTAGATTGTATTATGATTATTATGAAATCCGTATTATGAAATCCAAAAGTGGTTGATGAATGGAATTGAACAATTAATTTATAATATGAAAGGATATAAGAATGGAAGCTGCATTTATCGAATATGAACGTTCGCGTAAATTTCATTCCTCATTAAAAGGGAAAAGAAAAAATGCGCCATGCTCTCGGTCAGACAAGCATGCGAGGGAGGATTAATCGCGATCCCGAAAAATTCGCATACACCCGAAGACGCGGTAAATAATCTCACGTTCTGAAGAGAAATATGCCGGCGTCGGATCGAAACGGAATCGGCGCGAGCGAGAAGGGCTACGAGGAAAGACAGATAAAGGGACGGACATACAGTACGAGGATGAGTCGAACGAAGACGGATACAGAGTGCGAGAGAATCGCATAGACGGAGGAAGACGCGAAAGTGGGAGGAGGTAGAAGAGGAGGTGGAAAAAAATCCGGGGATTTACGCGGAAAGGGCAAAATATTCCCCGCCCAGGCCTCATTCAACCCCCGAGTACGGGGTGGCTTTGGGTGAGAAACGTGCGCCCTCATTGGCGGGGTGGCTAATATGGCGGTGTTAGGGGTTGCGAGGTGGGGCGGTTGCACGGCATATTAAGGGCTGCTTTCATGTCCGACGAGCCAGTTCGTGGTGCGCCGTCGATTGACGCATTTTCGTTTCGAACGCCGGAGAGAGTCGCGTGCTGCTGAGACCGCTGCCGTTGTCGTCCCAACTCCTTCTTCCCGCTTGTCTTTCGGTCTCGTTCCGAGTTTTCCGTTTTCGACGTTTTTCCGGACGTACGCATTCCGGTTGCATCGAGACTACTCTTCTGTTGTATCAATCGCGCCAAAAGTATATTCTCCAACGAAGCTCCATCTGTCCGCGGTCAACAGCGGGAAATACGATTTCCCTCGATCCCGGGTATATCATCGATGAGAGACGATTCTTCAGGAGTGGACTACCGTGAACTGAACACCGCCTCTGGTTACTGGTTGCAACAGTGATTTTCAGCGACGCTGCCCGCAAGAAGCATGGCGCAAACTTACAATCAGAAGAGGAACGTGTACAGCATCGATCAAATATTGGGGCACGCGAAGGATGAAGGTAAACGTTCATTTCATGTTTAATCAATTCTACATATAAAGAGAATATGAATCGGGTTAATGGTGGACGTAGCTGTTTCTTGCGATGAAAAGGATTGATCATATTTTACTTCTTTACGTATGACTTCAACAAATAGAAAGTAACTTTCTTTTGAAATATTGCAATGTGTACTATGGAACTGGAATTGGAACTTTACGAGTTTCTTTATTTACATGCCGTGAAACGCTCGCGCGCTGATAAACTCGCCCGATGATATTGCATTATCGCCTAGTATCTAATGTCGTTAAGTAAACTCAGGTCTCATTTACCAACATTTTATTGCTGTCGCATCGATCCAGCCGCGATTGCGATATAAAATGAAATAAAAGTTTCCTTCTAACTGAAACAAAGTGGGTTATCTATCTAAATCCATCGACAATCGCATCAGACAGTACGTTGTAATTGTGCGACAATTTAGCGAATAGAGTTTAAGCGATATCTAAAATCGTTAACATCAATCGACCGATCCATCCTCTAGCTGTTCCTCTGACAGAATTCTTAGAATTTGCGTGAACACACGGCTAACCGTAAATGAGCGACGTTCACATTTCTATGCATAATCTACGCATAATCCTTAATCCTTCGTTAACGCGCCTATTGTTTAATTGCCGGTAGCGTTTCAAAAGACTAATTAGGTCGAGGTTCGAATCTGCGGCGACGATCAACGCGATGCAAATTCACGACGCGACTTGAACGCGACGACGACGTGTCTTGCAGCACGCGAACAGCGAACACCGTGTCGCCGGCACGGTTGCGGCGTGCGTGCATGTGCACGGTTGTTTGCGAGCCGATTTTCCGCGGTGGTCGTACGTGCAAATGTATCTACATATGAGCACGCAATTATTTCATTAAAATATTCCAACAATAGATTTCTGAAGAAAGCCACGGTTACGTGTTACGTCGCTAATTGTCACAACCACGTGCTTGCTGCTGCCGTTACGAGTTGTATCTCGCGAATGAATTATTCCGTTTGCCGTATTACTGTACCGTGTCACGAGTGCACGACATCAAAAGACGGCTGTGAAACGCGACTAGCCGATTAACACGGCGTAAAGAACGAACCTTTCCTTTTTTAGATGAAATGGCAATAATGCAATTACGTGGACTAGAGTGTACAACGGTTGCAATCGTGTCTCGCGTCGCCAGTTTCCATGGAAAATTATTAGCACGATTTTTAACTCGATATATACCCGCAGCTCGCGATACGCCATGGAGAAGATATTAATCAACTCGCGTAAAGCTACGCTTATTAAATTTCCGCGAAGATACTCGGCGGCCGTGCGCGGTGTGCTGATTTTTTGCTCCGTAAAAGATTATCCGGACCAGTTTAGCGGTGAAGGTATTTTACCCGTAAACCCTCTTAAGGATTTTATTAGATTTTCAACGAAAAGCCGGACCTTGTGTAATCCGTTCTAGTGAAGTATATCTCGTTCAGAAAGACGCTGCACGAATTATCCTGAACTCGTTACCTTGCGTCGTTCAGGACTGAGGGGAAACAAAATGACAATATTCGTTTTTCTTTTTTTTTTTCAAGTTTCTTATCGTTCCGCATTGATGGAATTTTCACACATCACAAATTTGGTAATGCGAGCATACGTGTAACGTTCCGTAACAAGCGCGGATACACAAGTACGAATACGGAGCCGATGATCACTGTATACAGCTGGTCCGATTATTGGCCCGTCGCGATTGCGGGGTGCAGAAGTCGGGATGTGTTTGCGGATTTCGATCGTCGTCTAACATAATTAATGTGCCTGACAATAACCGTGTATCGAGTCCGGGTCCATTCATGTCAATCGGTATCATTCACGGGTTAACATATTGGAAGGTACGAGTCGTTGAAAAGTAGAGAACAATAAGGGAGAATGCATTTTTATTCATTCGAGATGATCTGCGTAAATTAAATCTCCTTAGAAGGGGCGAACGTAAACTGTTAATTTACTTTTTTAATATCACAAATTTTTTTTTAACATGGCTTTAATCGGTTTTAATTAAATGGTAAATTTGTGAGAGCAGTATCGAGCAGAAGGTAAGATTGGGGCATGTGGTCATAGGGGCACGGCAAACAAATCTTTAATTTCGCGCCGCGAATTGCCTTTACGGGCCACGGTCACCCTCTCGGATGCAACCCCTATCGGCTGGTCGTAGATTTAATATAAAGCAGCGGAGAGTTAGGCATCAAGTGGGTGCCCTATTGTGCCCTAGCTTGAAAACATAAAAATCTCTCTATTCACCGTGGATTATCCGTGCGCTGTTTGCGTAAATGTTAGTGCGATTATATGCACACGTACGCGCGTATCCTCGCACCCATGTAACCGTTCCTCTTCTTCTCTCGTTCTACGCACGTAGTCGACGTGCGTTTCGAACGATCTGCTTTATTCACAATATATCACAGCGCCGGTTAGAGTGGCACCGAAAAGTAGGATTAATATTATTGTGCACGAGTAGTAAATACGCGTCTAATTAGCCTGAACTAACGTATATAAAGGGATGATAGGAACAAGCAGTGGTACGGAGCACGAGAAAGGGGTTGCAAATTTGTAAACCAAATCTCTGACTGATTGTTACCTAATTCAATGAAATAAAAAAATCTAATTAAACGTTTGGTAACTGACTTAAGACTTCCTAGCTGAGCATTGCACTTCTGTTAATAAATAACCTTATAAAGTATATAAATACATACAATTGATTATACAATTTTAATAGCATCTCGCTGGAATGATCTATGTAAGCAGTCATAATTTTAGCAACGAGTTCAACATCTTATTACAAGTTATAAGTTTTGAATTTCTATAAGTTAACGGCTGCTTCATCAACACGTGTCGTTATTAAGGTACTCATTTATAAGAATTTTTTTCGCTGTTGCATAAAAAGAAATGTGCATCTTGTGTGTAGTTTACATTAATCAGCTCTTTAAGCCGATGTCAATAGTCATAGAGAAGACGCGATACAACAGGGGCACGCGCGGAAAGAGTGAGTGGAAAAAAGCGACAGAGGCAATAATACAAGTTAAAGGGTGGAATAAGGCGGGTTGGAATGGGGGAAGGGTTAGAGAAACGAGCGTGTGCTACAAGGGATGTGGATCGGGCGACGGACGGGGGTAGTACGCAATGTATGACATGCACTCGTGATATTTGCTAATCACTGACGGCAACGGTTTTTAAGTACTATCGAGCGTGTACGAATAATGTACAGGCTCGCAGCGATGCGTCATATTTGATATATAGGCGGATGTACAAAAAATGAAGCGCCGGGTGAGGCTTAAAATTGACAAATCCGCCGATCGGACATGATCGGCGTATCGGGCGTATATCGGGCGCCGGTCGGTCGTTGCGCGGCTTAAAAATGAAATTGCAGCCAAACCGACCCCGCAACAGCAGCGGCGGCAGTGGCAGCGGGAGCAGCAGTAGCAGCAGCATCTCTAACCCTCCTCCGCTCTCGCTACTGTTTCCTCGTCCGCCCTCTGTATATATCAACGAAACGTCAATTTCGTTTCGGCAGCGCTGACGATTTAGCTTAATCGCCTCGATCCTCTCTTCGGTTCAAGTATCGAAGGCCCGCGCATCATCGTTTGATACGCGCGTATCTATCCAAACTTCGATATGCGGTCCTCTAACATTGGCTACGTTCCCTCTTTCTGTTACTGTTCTACTTGTGTCTCGATTCACCCTGTGGGATATTGGTATCGGCAATCGTTAACGATTTAAGACCGAACATTACCACCGGTGTTCCCTTGTCTATTGGCCTTTGACGCCTTTGCTTTGGATGTAAGGGCGCTAGGACGACATGTGTTTCGTTGTAGCAAATATTTCAAGTCTGTATACTTGTATAATACTGATATAATAGAGAATTGTAATTTAATCGCTATCAAACTCTAAATGAATTATTTTTCTTGTATCGTTTCAGATCACGCGACTTCGTCTGATGCCATGGGCGACGCTGTAGATACCGAACTTGGTCACCTGAGTGACCATCAGATAAATGATGCCCTGCACGATCCGTTGAGCCTAGGAGAATCAGACCGGTTGAATTTGGGCGAATCGGATAGACCGCGGAAGGTCCGAAGATCTCGAACGACCTTTACCACTTATCAGCTACACGAGCTCGAGAAAGCCTTTGGGAACACGCAGTACCCGGACGTCTTCACCAGAGAGGAGCTTGCGATGCGACTAGATTTATCCGAAGCTAGAGTGCAGGTAATTAATTAAAACCGGTAATATTTATCAGTCACTGATACTCAATCTTTTTTTGGTTGTCAAACGTTTTTTAAAAAATTTATGTGTGGTATAACGCAGTAATTCATATTAAAAATAAATTTATGCACATATTTGACTTTACTTAAAATATGGAAAAGCTTCGAGCCGGTTTTCTTTCCGCGTTAGTCGAAGATAAAATGGTACTTCCTGCAGGTCCTCGATATTGTCTTGAAAATCGTACACGCGCACCGTGATACGTTTTAAGCTCGATTTTTGAACCTGTAAAGCCGTTGGTGAATGAACCGCAACCTCAGCCATGGGCCTCTCAACTAATTACACACTATTGTAGCCGAAAATCTGCCGCTTCTCTTCGACGTCTGTAATTTCGCGAAGGACGCACCAGACTATGCTCACGATGCTACGGGGATTAATTCTGTACAAGCCAGTCGAACGGCAAAGAGCGTACGGGGTCGTAATCTGCTTTGAAATTATTTTCCAGCCGCGGCTTTTAACGATGCTGAGAGAGTACCAGCTGCATATGTATTTTAGAGGTCCATGAAAAAAAAGATATACACGCATACACGTGCGTAGAGACGAGAACGAAAATGATTTGCACACGTAATTGCGATTTTAATACGATAGATCTCTTAGTTCGAATTGAATATTAGACACTCTTCACTTCATGTGTGAGTAATGACAGAGATAATCCTTCTCTAAAACATGTCATAATGCCGAATGATCTCATAATTTAACTGAACGGGAGAAAGGGAAATGTCAGTTTTATCGAATTTTGATTTTAACGTGTTTTCATGTGAATTCTTTGTCAATGGTAATATTTGAATGAATATTTCCTGCGGTGTAAAATAGTGAATTTCTTCCTTCTTTTCCCTAAAAAATAGTGTTTAGGAAATTACATTTGTCTTTGGATTGGTAAACGATACATTTCCTTTGAAAAATATCGAACGGGGAAATTTTTTAATCGCAGTAATTTGATCACGATCACGATAGATATCAGGGTCCCCAGCCCACGCGGCTTCATCACTTAATCGTGCACGAAGCTCTGGTTACGTGACGTGGAATTGGCGCCACGGAACGACGACGTCGGTAATAAGTTAGGGGGTTCGCAACGAGGTATTGGTGGTGGTCCTATAAATTATGACTTTTCCATGGATGGAAATCGGTTACTCGATTAACGTAACCACGCTGACACCCTCGTGTGCGAGAAGGAAACGGAGAGTGGAATCGGCTGATAGAGCAAAACAGCGAATCGGTGCTGGACGGAAGAAGGGGTTGATCGCGAAAGAGGGAGGAAGAGAACGAGAAAGAGCAATGTGTATACGTATATAGTATCTCTATATATTATGTATGTACATGCTGACTGTACACGTATGTGTGTGTATGTAGAGTATAGAGAAGGGTCGCGGATGGAGCCGCCGTCGAAGGGTGGCATGCAGTTGAAAAGAGACAGAGAGCATTCCGATTGGCCCATTGTGGTACAGCCAAGCGACAATGCCGGCAATTGGCCGTCGCTCGACAAAACCGCTAAATGATCCGCCGCGGCGCAGTGGTGCCACGGCCACTTTATTTCAATCTAGGAAATCCTCCGCTACTCCTCCTACCTCGCCGCCCTCAATTCCAGATGCGAAATTACCCATTTTTCGGTATTAATGGCTGGCCGATGTATCGCGTTCGATCATCGATCGGACCGATAGTAATGGAATCGCGAATCGTTTCTACCCGCTTCCTATTCTGCGCGGACGCGCCGCTGTCTCCACTGCTTTCGCTTTTTCACCGTCGCGCCGATCATGTTTTAATCGAAGAGGATTTGCGGTATCGATCAGAAACAAAAGACATTTTGTTTGCGGTAAGAAACAATGCTTATTTATTAAAAGAATAACCTTTCTCATTTGTTGAAAAATTTCTATGTGCATATACTTATTTTCTAATTGATATCTTACACAAATCCAATATAGAACACAGATCTGTCTACTACGTATAGTAATATCGTTCCACTGGCGCTCATTGTATAATTTGACGAAATAGAAATTCGTAGTTACTGAGAAAAATATTGGTGCTTTCAACAAGTATAAGGGAACGTGGACAGGAAATTTGCGGTGGAGACGTGGCGGTGGAAACGTTACACCGAGATTGTGCGGACCGAGGGGACGGGGTGGATTCAAACTTTCGGGTTCGCGTTGGGTCGCTTAAACGACGCGCAGCAAGGTTTGCGAGCACTTAGGCGTTAGCGGGGTATTCAGGAGCGATTAAATAATTAACAGCAATTAGGCAATTGAATTGCCTCTGCCCCGGCCTCGCGACGTTCGCCTCGTTCCCTGCCTGGAACCTCCTCCTTCGTTGAACGTTCAACATTTCCCAGTCACTTTCAAAACTTCCCCCGATTTACAGCTTCCGCAACGATATTCCTAATTTCTCTTTGGAAGTCTTTCCACCAACTTTAAATGTCCCTTACTTAATTATCATCTTTCTTCTCGGTACAGTTATTTTCTATTATCTGTCTCAATTGCATTATTGTTACTATCGACATCTCATAGGACACTCTGTTTTCCTGTATTAGGAATTTGTCTCGTCTTTCCATCAAATTATTTTAAATGAATTATATTATTTTGAACGATTTTCTTCAATCATTCTTGGAACAAGTCCTGATCGTCGAGGTATCGGAGAGCGATTCGAGACGGATTTCAAATTGATCGTGGATTTCAGGCTGAAAGGCACTGGATTTTCTGCACAATGGACACAGGATGTAAAATGCAATCTAGTTCTTCGTCTGTGACTGCCGGTAGCGTCTAAAAATCACAGCAGCTCAGGCGGAAAGCGAAAGCATTTATATGGCAATAGGGCCAGCGGTGCCGGCTTGTCGAATGGGGCGGTGAGGGGCGAAGGCAGGGGTTGCTGCCACTCAGGGGTACAGAGGAAATCAGGATAATTGTTAACAATTAGCTTAATCAACCTCGAGAGCAAGCTTTTGTTGGGTAGCTCTGATACGCCTGGCTGGGGTTCTCATGCGTCAGTTTCGCGTATTCTCTTCTTAAGGAATAATTCGATGATTTCACGTGGCAATTGTGCCTTTGATATGAAATAGATAAAGATACGCGAAAGTCGCGTTGTAACTATGTCAATGTTATAACTTGTTAAACTTGATGTCATTCATAATCTCCGTTCGTTTTTAATGATTTTTAATTTGGTTATCCTTTTCGTTTCAAGTACGATTTCCAATTTTGTTGTTTTTGTTTTTCAGGTTTGGTTCCAAAATCGTCGCGCGAAATGGCGAAAGAAGGAAAAGGTGTTGGGCAGAGATACGAACTTCATGCACGTGGAGCAAACCGGTAAGTGGAATTGCGATTTGGTTATCTGCCACACTAGTCAATCATCTTGTTGTTAATGCGTGGCGGTAAAGGCTGAGTCGCGAAGAAAGTAAAACTAAATGCAATCGATATCGATTACATCTAATTTGATCGCGGTCGTCGTATGCAAATAGTGCGGACTAGATAATTTAATTATTCATGAAGACTCTGATCAGTATTACTAACAATTTGAGGAACGAATTAGGAATATTTGTTAAAGAATTCTCTACTAATTTCCCTCAAGGTTTTAGTTGTTTCTTATACAATAATTGAATGTCGTAACTGAGAAAATGCAGAGTGTAATATTGTAGTTGAACTATTAAAATAAGAATTATAAATGAAGCTTAGATACATTGCATGAATCGCTGACTTTCTTTGTTCAAAATCAATCGACTGTTCAAGGGGAGTACTTAATACAAACTACTTGCAAGACCGCAAACGTCTCTAGTTTTGTCCATACTCTCTAAAACAAGCAGCATACCCGAGTAAATACAAAACAGGATCGAAAAGAACAGATAGAACAAACACCACGATCGGAGAACCGCTCCTCCTCCTCCGTTGAACATTGAAGGGCCAATTGATCCTGGACAAACGGTCGAACAAAAACGCAGTTGGATCGCTAAATGCTAATTCTCTTCGACGACAAGAGAACCCCGTGGCGGACCGAAAAACTTTCGTAACGCTAAAATCCCTGCGAAAACGGTCTGATTGCAGGTGTCAACGAGCTGTCCCTTCACGCCCGCTTGCTCCAAACCGCCGGCGGTGTGCCAGGTGCGGATCCATCGGGTGGACCGACGGGCGCGTTTCCCTGGTTCATCCCGCCGGTGTTCCCACCGCCGTGGCCGGCCAGCGCACCCAAATTGCCCCCGTTGCACGCGATCCTGTCCCAGTACATCGGGCTGCCCCTACCACAGAACCTGGCGTCTCTGAGCACGGTGCTTCCGGTTGGGTTAAATCCGGCTTCATCGTTAAACCACAACAACGTGAACGGGCACACGCTGGGAAGCCACATAACCGGACACCCGCTGAACCTGGGCGTGCAGAATCTGCCTCAGAATCTGAGCTCGAAACACGACAAGGAAGAGGACTCCGCGTCGTCCGACGACGAAATCAGGAGGCAGAGCGCAGAGGTGCTCAGAGTCAAGGCGGAGGAAGTTCTACGCAAGGTGGACAACTAACTATGAAAGTTAGGGTACATGTTCGCGCATGTAAATACGAAGATTGCGATGATTTTCAAAGGTCGCAAAACGGAGCTCGAGATATTGATACGCTCATACGTTGACTTTTGATTTAGACTGGGACAATAGAGAGTGGTTAATGTTGAATTTGGGATATAGGACTCTGAGAATTTTGCTGACTGCTTGTCTGATTTGTTTTCAGTCGTCGAAACCGCTGGCGGTTTTACGAGTGTTTAGAATCTTCTATTCCAATTTTATGTTTGTCTGCCATTTTCGTATGAACGATTTACCATACGATTGGCATTGGAGTATTCTAAACATTCTTTCAAAGTGATAAATCTCAGCTGCGGTCACCAATATTCTTAGAGGAAATCCATTTTCACGGGAATCAAAAAGGATCGATACGGATCAATAAAAGATGAAGAACTTTTGTAACATATGTATGTATCATACGTAAACAAGCATATATATTATGTATAGATCACACGCATAGTTTCTTTCATGTAAATATGTAGTTAATTAATAATACCAAGAGAAATATATGACGCTACTATGATTATTTACCATCTCATCATTTTCCCTCTCACACCATCTAAAAACAAATTAAATATACATAGATTGACAATATATTTGATTATAAAAATTCATCAGTGAATACAAACTAATTTTTTTCCGGTGACATAATTGCATCTACACAACACATCCGGAAATTACGAACCTCGAAATAACTAAAGCTAATGAACGTATTTTCGTCAGAATCAACCCCAATTCTTGTACTGTGAGAACAGGATTACCGTGGTTAACGCGCGACAAAATCACTTCCGTGTCATTAATCACTAAAGGATTTCACGTCTGCCGGGCGTTACGTCGATTTCCTGAATTCTGGATCGGCCGGGGGCAGCTGGCTCCGGGGGTTCTCCGCCCTCTACGTAAACGGGGACGATTCCATTCCCACGGACTCTTTTCGGTGTAAACATTCAACGTGGCGGTGTTTAATCGCCGCGCCGGCACGTCTTCCCACGTGCCAGGTATAGTAACGCTCCGATCAACCCCTGTGGTAACACGCACAACGGCAATTACAGTCGAACCAATTTATCCGCCTTATCAGAAATTTATCTGGCGGTAAGGACGAGGCGCGGAGCGACGACACCGACGACGTGGCGTGTGACAATTATCGTTATCGTTATTGAACGAGTCCGCGATGCCGTGCCGGCAGCGAGTCGCGACGGAACAGTGGACGCACACCGGGGGGAAGTAATTATTGCGCCACCTGCGCCGGGACGATTGTCATCGATGTGTCCCGATAAGATCCGCTTGATAATGCCGCGGGTTTGCGGGAAACATTTGCGGTTTATTTCCTGACCGTGCTTTTCTGTTATGATATTTCAGCCTTACTTCGTCCCCCGTTTTCTCTCTCTTCGTTTTAGCCTGGGTCGATTTGAAATCGTGTTTTCTAATTATGTTTCCATACATTCGTATACTTTATTTAATTACGGTAGGATGTTCATGAATTTTGTGGTGAGACTCAAACCTCCGTTTGCACGTTGGGTCTCGACCTCGTACCTCTTCCATGCTTCCCATGTTGTTTTACTTAAAAAGAAGTAAGGTAACATATAGCAATGAAAAATATTCAATGATATACTAAAACTTTGAAGAGTATTTAGGTACATTTTGAGCTTTCTAAACACAGAGACCTAAAGAAGAATTTGAATGAATTTACACGACTTAGTACTTATACGTCATTATTTTCACATTTCACATTTGAACACAGAATTGTATTTAAATAGGCCACACAGTTTTAATTTTATTGAATAGTTAGCTAATAGCGTAATTTTATCTATGAATCTCACTTTTCTTCTAATGCTCCATTGACATAAATTTTTTTTTTAAGGAACAGAGGCTATTATTGCTGCACAAGATATTTCAGCATACATTTAAGAATCATCGCGTTTAAAGAAAAGTATTGATTTCCGGAAACGTGGTTAATTCCCGGCGCAGATATACATTTTACGCTGAATTTTGAGAGAAAACTATGAAGCCGGTGAGGTGAGGAATAGAGAGCGGTGTGCCACACTTGAGATATTTTGCAGACATTTTATATTCGCAACATTAGAAAAGAGCACGCTTTGCATGCTTTCGAAATTCCTCCCCCCTTGCATTTTAGCTGAACGACCGTGTCACATAATGCTGTAAAGTTCCGCTAAATGGAACCACTAGAAGGAGAAAGAAACGCTTCGGGTCTACTTTCGCCTTTCTTTCATTCACCGCGTCGATTCGTAAGCATTCACACCTATACCTGTGTCCATACGATGCACTTTGCTATCGATAGCTGCTAGGGGTTAAGCGACTGAGAGACGAATTTCATTTCACGCTATCCCTTCGTTCCAAAGACTTTTCTTTCTACTCTAGTGAGTAGCAAAAGTGAATTAAATTATAAGTGAAAAGTGTCTAAGAAGTTCATACTTTATTCGTAGTACGAGAGCTTTATTGCTTTAGCTGATAAAAAATACAGAATATTCTAAACTTTTAGAATTACAAGAATTTTATGAATGTTCCATTAGAAAATTATTATTGTGTTTTCTAAACTCTGTCGCCACAGAAAGAAGGATTCGCATAGACTAACGAGTTGCAGCCTGTCCGCACCTCCGGTTGCCTATGTGTTCTCTTTGCCGGCCTTAATCATATGTTTTGAGGGGGTGGATGAGGGATCAGAGTTGAATACCACTGATCGCGATCGCGACGGCTACGAAGGACAATTAGATTAAAAGCAGCGCCTCTCGCGGCGGCTTGAGATCCATTAGTGCCCATTGTACCACCCCATTTGTACCCCCGACGTACCACCCCCGTGTGCCGTTACTTCAGCCCCTTCCATCTTCTCCCCCGAGCGTAGCCACCATCTCGAAGCCAGGTACTTATTCTCAATAGTAATATGCTCACTTCATACTTCCATCCCCTCCTGCGGTCTCACCCTCTTTTCCCGCCTTCGACACCCACGAATATGACTATCTCGCTCTCCCCTTTTCCTCTCCTCGGCACACACGATGCTCTCTTTCCTGTTTCTATCCTTCTTCCACTCTCTCCATTTCTCCGGTTTTCCTCCTTCGTGTTTCCCATCCTGCTCCGTTGCTCTGTTCTTGAGAAGCGGGAAGTCGGTAGAAGTGGCACAGTCTGAAAAGATTTCTCCGCTTGTGAAAATCACTAGCTACACTGATACCCGTGTCCAAGAACACCGGCATTAATGATACCCTGAATGACATCAATTAGTCCATCTGCCGTGATAAACCTCCATCGTCGAGATTACTACCTATTCTCGACGCCTTTTCTTCCCCGGCGACGCTAAGTAGCTGATTTCCACTGATTGCAATGTCTTTTCCTTCCGTTGGAAATTGTACCGTGCACCTAATGTAAACTTCGTTGAACGTACATACGCTTGTTTCCGTTCCAATATTGTCCAACGTTCTATTCGAAAACTGTTTCGTATTCAGTCATGGATTCGAGAAGTCTAACTGGACCTCGAGCTTCTATTCTTTAAAATATTTGTCCACACGCTCTTTTCTTATACAGTTCTTATCTCCTGTACTTCAGAATTTCCCGTAGAGTAATAAAAAAGGATTTCCTTTTAAAATTAATTACAGTTGATGTCAACGCTATCTACGAGATTTCAGTTTCACTCGATTTCGTGTTGTATTTTCTGCAGAAATGGAGCGTTTCCTTTAACAGCTTAATTTCCACGAAAAGTGCATCGCCGCTCATTTTCTCTCGAAGGGTGGAACGATTTTTCCGCTTACTCGCAAGCCTGAGCCGCGCTTAAATTGTATCTACATTTGCAAACTGTTAGAGAGAGAGAACAGTGAGCCACTCGAAAGAGGAAACTACGGTGTGCAGTTCCGTAATAAAACGGCGTGCAATATGAAATCACCTTGATACGATTGTGCAGCCATTGTTTACCGCTTTATCCAGTGGAATATCTTACAAGATCGTTTCCCCACTTTTGAAAGATATTACGATCTAGCTGCATACGTCGCGTATTACAGTCGCCATTTTGTTGATGGAATTTCTCCAGTATATTTGCGAAGATTTACTTCAATCTTCAGAACGATTACATATTGAGATATGTATTCATTTATTGGAATTAATTATGTAGATTACCAATTCTATTGATTACAGATTTCGTTATCAATTTATCAAGAAGAGTGAATGCCAATATTTGCAGTAACGGGTTTTCAGTCACCCGAAACGAGAGAGTGAACGAACAATCGGCACCTAATAAGAAAAAAGAAAATAGCAGCCAATTATAGAGAAGTTTCACGACTAGGTATTCCCAAAACATGAATGGAATGTTCGTGGACACCCGCGGCGTAAGAAATTCCGCGCGAAGACACAGAAACGGGATACGTTGACGCAGACGGTTTGAGAACCGCTCTCGTTCACACGTTGTGAAGCTGAGTGTGCGATTATGCTTAAAAATTAGTCTCGTTGCGTTCTAAATCCATACACGCGGTGCGTACACACTTCATTAAGGCCATTAGAAGGCATCTGGGCACAGCAAGCCTGACGACCTGCCCGATCCCCGACACCGATCTCTTTTTCGCCTTTTCAGCCCCTTCAAGGGTGACCGACAATAATGGCTTTTACGTCGATAGGCTTACGCCCAGATATCGTGGGTACCCCGCACCCTGGAAATTGATATACCTGTACGATTCGTCGTTATTTTCCACCGTTCCAGTCTGGAACATTCTTTTCTTTTAATTTTATCCTACAGATTTGAAAAAATTGAAATTTACGATACAGAAGTTAAAATAAATTCAGATGCTTACATTTTAATTGCGACTGATGGGAACTAAATTAAACGTACTTTCTGGTGTCCCTGAATAGAACTGTTTCAGAAATAAAATCATGGCTCATTAATGTGCCTCAATTAGGAAGTTGTTACACTAAATTAATCCTCTATAAGCGTCCATGCTAGTATCCTGATTCAGTTTAAAATGGTTCGAGGTTGAGTCCACTTTGCGTAACAAAAAAGCGAGAAAGAGAGTGGGAAAGAAAGTGAGAGAAGGGGAAAGGTCCGACCGATCGGATGCTCCGGCTCGTTGAAAAGATCAAAGCTCACGGCATTTTAATGGATCGTGGAACGAGGTCTTTCACACTCGATCAATTTTCTCGAATGAGGCGGTTTTCGCGGGATAAAAGGTGCATCAAGCCATGCACGTACGCGGCGCACATCGGGGGTCCTTCGACGTCTTCCATGCGGGGTGAAAGATGTCTAAATGCGACGAAATTCAGAGTCCGGGTACAAAGTGAACCGGGCATCGTGCCAGGCAGTCTCGAATCTCACCTCCATCAGCTTATAATTGTTTTATCTCGTTACTGACTCGATTACCATCGACATCCCCCGGTCAAACGGATTCAGTAACGAGAAGAAGCAAAGGGGGAATGTATTTCATGAGCCCGACGACTAAGTTCTCACGGTACTGTTATCGTTGCATTCGTGGGTAAAAATACATATAGAAGAGAAAGTGGAGGCTTTAGGCGTATTTTACAG